AAAAAAAAAAAAAAAAGATAGAAGGGTCAGCTAAGGATCTGGGACAGGGCAAAGGGAGTGAGAACCACCCCATTTCACTGTGGGGTATCTTCATGCAGGAATCACCCCAATGCTACAGCTGATCCAAGCCATCCTGAAAGTCCCTGAAGATCCAACCCAATGCTTTCTGCTTTTTGCCAACCAGGTTTGTTTGCTTTTCTTAATCCTGGGACCTTAAAGTTGCTGTATGGGAAGGACTGAGAGATGTGGTATCAGTGGACAGAACTGGCCCTGTTTTAGTCTCTGCCCAAGGTCCCCTCTGCAAGGTACAATACCCTTTACTACAACAAGGAGGGGAAAGGACAGAACATTGAGCCACATTCCTTCCCTGGCCCCAAAAGAAAGAAGAAACATTTAAAGTACCTTGTCTTGAGCATAGAAACTTGAATCTTCTTGATTAAATATTCCATCTTTTGGCTCGGCGCCCATAGCTCAGTGAGTAGGGTGTAGACCACATACACCAAGGCTGGCTGATTCGAGCCCAGGCCAGACCTGCTAAACAGCAATGACAACTACAACCAAAAATAGTCGGGCACTGTGACGGGAACCTGTAGTCCCAGCTACTCAAAAGGCTGAGGCAAGAGAATCGCTTAAGCCCACGAGTTTGAAGTTGCAGGGAGCTATGACACCATGGCACTCTACCAAGGGCGACATAGTGAGACTCTGTTTCAAAAAAAAAAAAAAAATCCATCTTTTTATTTTTTCATAACATGTAAAGATTGTTCCCCTCTTTTTATTCTCCTCCTAACTCCCTAATAGCCTGCAAGTCTTGCTTATTCCCTAGAACTTATAGCATTTTTTTTTTTTTTAGACAGAGTCTCAAGCTATTGACTACAGGCACCAGCCACAATGCCCGGCTATTTTTTTGTTGCAGTTGTCATTGTTGTTTTAGCTGGCCCAAGCTGGGTTTGAACCCGCCAGCCTCCGTGCATGTGGCTGGCACCCTACCCACTGAGCTACGGGCACCACCAGAACTTCAGCATTTCTACATTTTTTTCTGTCTTCCTTGTAAAGTTGTTAAAGAAGGAAACTTTTTCACGCAGGCCTGAGAAAGTTCCTAAAGACTTCCCTTTCCCTTTGCATTTCAGACTGAAAAAGACATCATCTTGCGGGACGACTTGGAAGAACTGCAGGCCCAACATCCTAATCGATTTAAGCTCTGGTTCACCCTAGATCACCCCCCAAAAGGTATCTTTCACATTTCTAGATATCCTACTATCCTCTCTTCAGCAAAATCAAGACCTTGTCCCCCTGTGAGTTCTGGTTTTAGTGTCACCAACCCTCCCTGACACTGCCAAACTCCCATGTCCTATTGCCCAAACAGAGTGGTCTCTTTTTCCTTTTCCTTCGGCCCCTGTGTACCAGGTGGGTCACAGGGATAGATGGCTATGCTACTGAGGCTTGGCTGACACAGGTTTAGTGTACCCATCCAGCTGCTGCTACAACTTGATACCTTCTCAGGAGCCTCTCCAGACCCTCCCCATGGCTCATATTCATGGCACCACACCCCCTTGCCAACATATGTCTGGAGCATCAATTCTTTCTTCTATACTTCAGATTGGGCCTTCAGCAAGGGCTTTGTGACTGCCGACATGATCCGGGAGCACCTGCCGGCCCCAGGAGATGATGTGCTGCTGCTGCTTTGTGGGCCACCCCCAATGGTGCAGTTGGCCTGCCATCCCAACTTGGACAAACTGGGCTACTCACAAAAGATGCGATTTACCTACTGAACATCCCCAGCTTCCCTGGTCCCTATAAATCTCCCCTTTCAGTACTCAAGCCCGATAAGCCCCAAATTCCTTTCCTATGAGTATCAGCGCTTTGTGTCTTACTCTGGAGCTGAAATTGGAATGAGACCTGCAAGAGCAACATTTCTGTGGCCATTCAAGAAGGCCAAGACTGAGTCATTCTTTAGAAGGTGCCCCAAATCTCCCTATGAGAGAAGATCCAGATGAGGCCCAGGAAGCCCTCTCTTCCATGGAATAAGAAAGAAGGTAGCAGGTACATTTTCTCCAAGACTAGTTCCTTGATAGCCTCACACTCTCAATTTTGTACCTGTGATAAAAGGAACAGTCTATGCGATGGGTTTTATTTAATATTCAGTGTTTAACTTATGGGCAAATTCTGTATATATGAATGTAAGTTGACCAGACTTCTAGAGGTTTATAGAGGTAGCAGGAGAGAAGGAGAGAAGGAAATTGTTTCTTCAGACCTCCAAACCTCAGAGAAAGAAATTTGAAATGCATATTTGTGTGTCTGTATCTCTCAGTCCCTGCCCAGGCTAGAGGGAAATGCCACCAGTAACCTGCTGCTTGTAGCAGGAACCTTTGGCTATGCAAATAAATGGAGCTGCAGCCCCAGTGTGATACCTGTGGGGTTGTTTTATCTGGGGTCTTTATTTTCAAATACTCAAGACCTTGGGAGGAAGAGTTTCCCAGGTCATCCAAAGAGCCTTTGAGCAGTTGTACCATGTGCTGAAATGTGAGCTGCCACCGGACTCGGACTCAGAGTTCATCTCAGCAGCTGTCTTGGCAGAGCCAAAGCTCCACCCCTCCTTCAGGGCTTTGAGGTAGGAGAACACGTGTTGGTTAGAGGGTTTGTTTTTTGAGTTCAGGTACCCCTCACAGTGAACCCTTGATTGGCCACTACTTCCTCTTCTTTCTCTTGGCCCATCCTTCACCACATTTATATCCTTCAGGAAACTTGGCAAACAAATCAAAGTGTTCTTTTTCTTTTTAGAAAAGAAGCCTTCTCCTTTAAAAAGTAACCTGACATCGTCAGCCCTGGCTAGACATGTTGGTGCCTGGACAGTGCTGGCTTCCCTCAGGCCCATTTGTTCTTCTTCTCTGCTGTGAGAGTATGACCCAGTCCTCTACTTTCTCCCAGGGTAGGACTAGGCAGCCTCTTCATTCTTCTTTGTCAGTCTCACTGGAACAAAACAATGCATTTGGGCTAAGGAGGAACATCGCCACTGCTATTCTGCATGTATTGCTCTCTGGGGCCTTCCAGGGAAAGGTTTGTGAGACCCTCAGAATTCAACTCTCCATAAGGCACAGTCTTCAGTAAATTGGTAATATGCTATCAAGAATATCTTAATCAGGCCAGCGCCTATAGCTCAGCAGCTAAGGTGCCAGCCACATACACGGGAGCTGGAGGGTTCAAATCCAGCCTGGGCCTGCCAAACAACAATGACGACAACAACCAAAAAATAGCTGGGCATTGTGGCAGGCGCCTGTAAGTCCCAGCTACTTGGGAGACTGAGGGAAGAGAATCACTTAAGCCCAAGAGTTGGAGGTTTTTATGAGCTATGATGCCACAGCATTCTACCCAGGGGGTAGGTTACTTGATGTCAGGTTACTTTTTGACACTCTGTCTCAAAAAAAAAAAAAAAGAAAGAAAGAAAGAAAAAAAGAATATCTTGGTCAGCTAGATCGGCTAGTAAGTATATGGCCCTGTGTTTTGTAAGGCATAGTCTCAGCCATTGCACCTCCAGAAAGAAATATCTTTCTTAGGATTTTTGGGTTTAGATAATGAAGCATCCCTACAAAAAGAAAACACAATGTGACTAATCTTATAGCAGAGATACATACAAGGTACACATGGGAAAGGGTTGAGAAAGATTCAGAAAAGAAGCAGAGAAAGAGAATTCACATTTTTGAGTTAATAGCTATGTAACCAGGTACTATGCTAAGTACACTACCTACATCATATAATTTAATCCTGATGAAAATCCTGTGAGTCAAAAGTCAAAGATTAAGCATTTGACAGAGGTCATACAGCTGGTCAGTGGCTGGCAGAGCCTGAATGTTTTGGGTTTTTTTTTTTTTTGGTAGAGACAGTCTCACTTTTTTCGCCCTTGGTAGAGTGCAATGGAGTCACAGCTCACAGCAACCTCCAACTCCTGGGCTTAGGCGATTCTTCTGCCTCAGCCTCCCAAGTAGCTGGGACTACAGGTGCCCGCCACAATGCCCGGCTATTTTTTGTTGCAGTTTGGCCAGGGCTGGGTTTGAATCCGACACCCTCGGTATATGGGGCCGGCACCCTACTCACTGAGCCACAGGCGCCTCCCGCAGAGCCTGAATGTTAATTTAGGATTGTCTTAGGCCAAAGTCAAACAACCCAGAACTGGGCATTGCAAATTTCTTGGCTCTTGCAGCAAACCATGGGGGAAGGGCAATCCAACAGAAGGATCAGCATGTGCGAAAAGCCTGGAACTAGAGTAAAAGAGAAATTCACATTTGGAGAACTAGGAAGTTCACTGAGGCCCAACAGACCAGATAGAAAGTGGAGAAAGATGAGGCCAAGATGAGCCAGCTTGTAAGGGGCCTGGTAATGCCATGGTAAAGAAACTTGAACTCAATCTTGTAGACATGGAAAGTTTCTGAGGATTTTATACAGTGGGCAACACAAAAATAGCTAATGTTGGCTTGGTGCCTGTGGCTCAAGTGGCTAAAGAGCCAGCCACATACACCTAAGGTGGCAGGTTCGAATCCAGCCCAGGCCTGCCAAACAACAATGATGGCTCCAACCAAAAAATAGCTGGACGTTGTGGTGGATGCCTGTGGTCCCAGCTACTTGGGAGGCTGAGGCAGGAGACTTTGCTTGAGCTGAGGAGTTGGAGGTTGCTGTGAGCTGTGATGCCATCGCACTCTACCCAGGGGAACAGCTTGAGGCTCTGTCTCAAAAAAAAAAAAAATAGCTAATGTTTATGAAGTACTTATATTGACTAGGCCTCATGCTAAGAGCCTACATAAATTATCTCACTTAACTCTGACAAAGACCCAAAGAAATAGTATTATTTTACTCCAATTTTTAGATGCTGTAATTATTATTTGGAGTTCAATAATATGCTCAAGATAATAGGTTAGCCAGTGACACAAATCTGGGCCTATGTGACTCCAAAGCCCAAGCTTTGCCAAGAAAATTAATTCCACTCTCTCGAGGCATCCCTGTAAAATTTTCAAGAGATACTTTCTCTGCCTTAGAATGGCACTAATTGCACACCATCCTTGGGAGAAGTGAGAAAATTGTCAGACCCTCAAATCTTTTGTGTTGACTCTCTGATATGCATTCTGCACATGTGGGATTTTCAAGCATGACTAGTTAGAAACAATTTCGCTAACTCTGACAAGAAATAACAGGAACCAAAATTGCCCAGCACATAGTAGGCACTCAAAAATAATTTGTGGAAGAGAACCATGAGGTTTAAGAAGAAGGGATTGCTGGCCAGGAGCGATGGCTCACATCTGTAATCCCAGCAATCTGGGAGGCCCAGGCAGGTGGATCGCTTGAGCTCACGAGTTCGAAATCAGTCTGGGCCACAGCAAGACACCCCTCCCCCCCTCTAAAAAACTAGCCCTCGTTGTAGCGGTAGTCCCACCTACTAGGGAGGCTGAAGCAAAAGGATCGCTTAAGGCTCAGCACCCGTAGCTCAGCGGCTGGAGCTCCGGCCACATACACCGGGGATGGCGGGTTCGAACCCGTCCAGGGCCTGCTGAAACAACAATGACAAGTACAACGACAATAAAAAAAAAAAAAAAAAATAGCCAGGCCTTGTGGCAAGGCACCTGTAGTTCCAGCTACTTGGAAGGCTGAGGCAAGAGAATCGCTTAAGACCAAGAGTTTGAGGTTGCTGTGAGCTGTGACGTCACCATACTCCACCGAGGGCGACACAGTGAGACTCCGTCTCAAAAAAAAGGTGGCGGGGGGGGGGGTAAACTGTTTCAGAAATGGCATTGGTAATAGAGGAGGTGCTGGGAAATCCTCGGCTCAAACAAGGTGTACGGTAGGAACTTCAGCATTCCATCTCAGGGTTCGGTTCAATTCCCTGAAATTCCTCCGCCTTCACGCGCTCCAGTCTGACTTCCGAGTGGGAATTTGAAATTGGACTAACGAGGGCAAAGCCTGGGGTAGTGGGAGTTTGTGATTGAAGCGGGGGTGAGGGTGGGCCTGGGATGGGGAGGGCGGGACTTGCTGGGGGCCCAGCGGCTAGGACCGCGCGGGGTAGGCGGGCGGGGCGGGGCCTCAGGCGCGGAAGGTGTGGCCTAGGGAAGCGGGTCCTGCGATTGGGACTCGAGAGGCAGGGCCTGCGATTGGAAAGGCAGGGTAGAGCCAGCTAGGAGGTGACGCGACTGCGGAGGTGACGCGTGAGGTCGCGCGCCCCTTCCGGCGCGGGGAGGGCGCTGACGATCCCGGGCCGCTCGGCCGCAGGCCGCCTCCACCGCCGCGGGATGTAGCGCGGGGGACCGCGGCCCCCAGCAGAGTCTACTCTCCCGGCTGTAAGTTTCCCCGGAACTGACCGGTGAGCGGGGACTCGGCTTTAGCGTGGGGACCCCGGGAGCCTCATCCCAGGTCTGAAGAGGGGACAGCGGTTGGGGCAGTCCTCCTCCAAGGTCCTGGACTCCGGCTCTGGAGCCGGCCGGGCCTCCCCGCTGCTCTGCGATCTGGGTTGTAAACATTTCCGGCCCCTCCCACCGCGCGCCGCTTCGGCGGCGGCCCCCCAGGCGCGACGCTTTGGCACCGGGGGTCGCTTGCCTCAGGCTGACCCTGACTCTCAGCAGTCTTGGTGAGTGCTGTGTCCTCGGCCCCGCAGGCGTTCTAGCTCTGCGTCGGGACCGGACAGCCAAAGCTAAGCCTCGTCTGAAAGCCGCCGCGAGTGGGGAGGGGGTCTGGCGGGCTTAGGTCGCAGAACCGTCTCTCTCCCCTTGGTGGCCGGGAAAGCCCAAGGTTGCTCAACCCACAGTCTTTAGCAGGTTAAATAGTGACAGTGCCCCCACTTTGACGGGATCGGGTGGGTCGTTGGTTGACACTCTACGTGGTTAAGGCAATCCTAATAGCTGAAATGTGGGCAAAATTTGATCTACTTTTGGGAAAAACGAAATTTCTTTCCCTTGGAAACCTAGGATTGGTGTATGCTATTTTATGTTTGAGAATTTTGTTTTTCAAGCCTTTGGTTTTTAGAAAATAAAGTCGATAAGTGCTTTCACTCAGTTTCTGGCGCTTCTTGGGAGAATGGGAACCTGAAAAGGCATATTTTAGTTTACAGAGTTTCATACGTGAACGGGGCATTTGGAGGCCATAGTACTTTATTAGATTAACCACAGTATTTCCTTCAAGTATTTAGAAGATAACCTGCAAAACACTGGGGAATATATAGGCTGCCGTTTTAAATGAAGACTGTAACAACTTACTCTTTTCTGAAATGAACTAAATAGTGAGGTCTTCTCACTGCTTTTCTCTTTTGGTAATGGTTGGGTAGGATGTGGTGGTGCAGCTGCTGTTCCTGAGGTGTTACAACATATATACATTGCCAGGAATTTAGATAGGGTGGCACTAAACATCGCAATGTCAGGGTTCCTGGCTTGCAGA